TTTATGTTTAATATTTTTTTATAAAAGCCTAGGTAGTTATGCAACAAACATCATATAAATGCGTTTTTCAAACTTTGAACAAAAATTAAAAAAATTTGACTAATTTTCACCAAATTTTCGAACTCTTTATTCAGAATTTTAGAAAAATTTTTGGTATGCAGTTTTGTAGCCCATTCAATTTTAGTATAATAAAGTGCAAGTTTCAATTAGCTAAAAATACCGTGGATTTTTAAGAATTTTTTTGCTGACGGTGTCACGCATTTTTTCCCATACAAAGTGTACTCGACAATTTTTTTATATGGAAGAGAATGCCTAGCATGGTCAACAAACAAAGTTTTCAAAAATTAACGGTATTTTCTAGTGACTTGAAATTTGCACTCTATTATACTAAAATTGGATGGGCTACAAAACTGCATACCAAAAATTTTTCTAAAATTCTGAATAAAGAGTTTGAAAATTTGGTGAAAATTAGTCAAATTTTTTTAATTTTTGTATAAAGTTTGAAAAGGGGATTTATATGGTGTTTGTTGTATAGCTAGCCAGGCTTTTATAAAAAAATATTAAACATAAAGGAAACCATGGATTAATAGCCAAAACTCTTCAAAGTAAGGCGAGTCTATTATTTCTGCCGCCACTGTATGTATGATTTGTAACAAAAATTCTTTGGCACATGATATTTCACTAAATGTATATTAAAATATCGTTTCATATAAAAAAGAAAAAGGAGCCGCAAACACACATCTTTATTAAAAAATGCTATATTTTTTTATCTTCTCTCGAAAAATATATACATATTAAAGGAAAGGTCTTTCAACTAACTTTCCACATTTTGAAAATCGGTTTCTCTAGTTCTCGAAATATTAGCCGCCCCTATTACGGTAATTTTTAGCCAATCGAAACTTGCACAATATTATACTTAAATGAAATAAGAATCAATGAAAAACTGTAGGTATACTCAAAAAAATGTTAAAACTTCTGAGAAAAAAGTTTGAAATTGAAATGCAGATGTTTTGAACCTCTTAAGTTTTCTATAAAGTTTTAAATTTGGGTTTATATGGTTTTGAATTTGAGTTGTAATGGTATGACCGGTACTGTATTTATATAATATAATATAATACATATGTTTTTATATATGTAGTATATAACGTGGACAAACAGATTTAAGGGTTGCCACATGTTAAATAAGTAAAATCTAATTAAATTATTACTTAATAAAATCAGCTATTGTAAGTTTGTTGGTCACCATATAACGCCAGGAGAACTTGATGGGTTTGGATTCGCTTATAAACATACAGCTGCGTCAAAAGTATATTTTTATAATAGTGTCGGTTGAAACCCGCGTGTATATGCTAAATAAATAAATTTAATTAAAATAGTTTCTAACAAGGTTTTCGCGAATCCTTCGTGCATCCTGCAAGATTGTAGCATTAGATTCCATGGTCTCATGCTCACCTATATCTATATTGGTATCTTGGGTATAATTTATTTCGGGCATAGGCATATTGTGCAATTTTCTGAAATTATGCAGCGTAAGACAAGCGTTGATGATAGCGCCAGAATAAACTGGGTTGAAAAGAATGCCGCCATCACTTGACAAACACGCGAATACTTTTTTTAATACACCATTCAATCGCTCAATGCAGTTACGAGCTTGTATGTGGTGATTATTGAAATTTTCTTCGCCCCTAGTTTCAGGATTTCGGTAAGGTGTCATTAACCAAGGCTGAAGGGGGTATCCGGAATCGCCAATAAGCCAGCACGTGTATATGTTCTGCTCATATTGTTGCTGCATTAATTGCCTAA